TCTAATTTTTCATATGTGTCTAGAGAAAAGGAAAATACCCCAGTCATGAGGAATCTCTCAGGCTTAAAATAGTTATAAATTCCCCATTTTAAAGAATAAAGTATGCTTATAACTGGATCAATAAAGAGTGCCATCATTAACAGAGTAAACAATGACCTTGTCAAGGATTTTATCTTCTTCCAGGTCCACACTGTCAGATGGTAACATCCTGCATTATCAAATCTGCTGAACAAGGTCTCTTTGAAGGGTTAAGAAGTAAAGATGTTGCTTGGAGGACTATGGTGCACTTGACCCAAGCCAGGATAGTCTCAGTTATTCTGTATGAGTGTAAAAGCTGGACAACAAATAAGGAAGGCTGAGTAAGAATTCATGCCTTTGAATTATTGCTGAAGGGTGTTGAATATACCAAACCCTGATAGCCTAGAGGTAAGGAGTTGTACTGACAGTCCAAAGGCACCTGATTCAAATCCACCAGTTGCTCCACAGTAGAAAGATGGGCAGTCTCCTTCAGCTCAATTTATAGTCTCTGAAAACCCCCTGCAGGGCCAGCATTGAATGCACCATGAACTGCCAGAGGTATAAAGAAATCTGCTTTAGAAGAAACATAGCTGGAATGTGTCTTAAGAACAAGGATGATTTAAAACAACTATGAGATATCATCTCACCCCAGTCAAAATAGCAAAATTTAACAGAACAGCAAGCAACAAATGCTGGCGAGGTTGTGGAGAAACTGGAACCCTTATTCACTGTTGGTGGGAGTGTAAAATGGTGCAACCACTGTGAAAAACAGTATGGCACTTTCTCAAAAAGTTGCAAATAGAGATACCATTTGACCCAGCAATTCCACTACTGGGAATATACCCCAAAGAGACCATAACTGACATACAAGTAGATATATGTACACCCGTGTTTATTGCAGCTTTGTTCACAATAGCAAGGACTTGGAAACAATCTAAGTGCTCATCAACAAACTAATGGATAGAGAAGCTGTGGTATATTCACACAATGGAATACTATGTTGCATTGAAAAACAAGGAACTCATGCAATATTATTCAAAGTGGGTGTCTCTGAAGTATCCCAGTCACAAAAAAAAAAAATACTGCATGGTGCCACTGTTCTATAACAGGACTGACCTTGGGGTTGGGGAGAGGCTGAGAAAGATGGGTTCAATAATATATACTGCACTGAAACAGATGAGGGAGAAAACTGTTTAAAAGGGATATGTGATTAGGTATTTTTGTCTTGACAGGAGTCTAGAGCGAAGGCTACATGGTGGAGTGGACCTGGGGGAGGGTTTGTAAAGCAATGAAAGAATTTTTCTTTTACTTTTCCAAGAAGGTAGTGTTCTGGGGGGGAAGGATGGGAAGGGAGAAATGTGCAATAATAAATGAATGGAAATCCAAAGTCTCTGTAAATTTTTACTGAAATTAATAATAAATTTAAATTTTAAAAAATTAAGTTAGAGTAAGGAAGGCAATGGATTTATAAACTGCTCATGCTAATAACACTATATCATGGCATGGAGGAGGAATAGTGGAACTGTATCCACATTTACAATATTCTTCTTACCAAAACCATGCATGGAAAATAGGAACTGCATTGAACATGTATCTCTGAATTGGGAATGATCATATTGATAATATTTCTATCCTTAAATTTAAAAGATTATATTGTTCAAAATTATTTGTTTAAATTTTTCCCTTTTTTAACAACTGGGATCTAGAAGTAAGAGAAAAGACCAGAGAATGGCCAAAATTATTGGGGCACCTATTGTTGCCAGTTTAGGGCCTGTGTCGGGAAAAGGAAGTCTTACTCATAAACAATGCCACCCAAAGGTAATAAAGGTCAGAATTGCTTCCACTGTGGAAAGCTGGGCCACTTCAGTAGACAGTTTCACAGACAAGAGCCACAGATAGGCAAGGGAGTAGAGAGGAGGCTCCCACTCACTAGCTTTAAGTGTGGATTTGAAGGACACATGGCCAAGGGTGGCCCACATCAGGTCCTCATGGCTGAAAGGACTGACAGGCCCAAGCTCCCAGCTGGAAACAAAGGAGGATGCTTCAATGATTTAGATCCTTCCAGAAGAGCTGTGGATGAGCATTAACATTACTGGTAAGTATATTCATTTTCTCCTGGACACAAGAGCCTATTATTTGGTCCTAAATGCCTTCTGAGGTCCCAACTCTTCTCACCATTTCTTAGTTGTTGGAATTGATGGAAAACCTCATAAGCAGTTCCTTACTTCACCTCTGCCTTGCATGTGGACTTCCAAGCTGTACAACAACCCAGTGGTAGATGGAATTTGGTCCAGGACTTAAGAACAATAAATGACATAGTTGAGCCTCTACATTGTGTGGTTCCTAACCTTTATACTATAATAGACAAAGTGCTAGTCAATAAGCCTTTTATTTTAAGAATTACCTTCCTTCTGTAACTTGATTTGTGCCACTGTTAGAACCTCTACTTGGAATAGGATTGCTTTTAGTTTTTGACTCACATACTTTTAACTTGTTAAATTTGTGTCTTCTAGGCTGCAACAGTTCCATGATGTATCTTCAAGGATATGAACATGAATGGCTAAGCACAACTGATAACAGTGCATCTAAATTCTCCACAATAGTCTACGTGTTTCCTATTGCCAAAGGGGCCCTTTAGAGTAGTGAGAGAAGATCACCCTGAAACCTACAGCATCCCTTTTCAGCAGGAAGGAGCTAAGAGAATACACCGCCCCCTTTTCCTTATGAATCAGGGTGAAATCTCTCTCAGGGAGGAGAGATAGGGAATGTCAAAGGACACACTGACAAAGGACATTAATCAGAACTGCTTTTGACAAGCACTGTGACAATGGGACAATTAAAACAGACTTTCAAAGGGGGGGGAAAAGAGGAACGAACTGGGGGGGTAGAGAAAATAGTGCAACAATGAATGAATGGAAATCCAAAATCTCTGTAAATGTTCATTAAAATGAATAAAATGTTAAAAAGATGAATAAAAAAGAACAAGGACGATGTGATGCTTTATTATTAGGAGAGACTGGGTACTGAAGAAGGAGGTCATCTTGATATAACCGAGGGTCGTCAAAAGAGGGGAAGACCCTCTCACACAGCAGTGATTATGGACTGGATTGGACTGGACCATGTTTCACTCTACAGTATTGAAATCAACTCAATGGCATCTAATGACAGTATGCTTAAATATGACCCATTCTATTAAACTGACAGTTTATCCTTGTTCTATACAATCTTTTTTGAACTTCAGGGTATGCTTACTTATTTACGATGCTTTCTATATTTCCTGTAACATTTTTTTGTAAATACACAAGTTTTAAAAATAACAAATACACAAAACAAATATGCAGAAACAATAAATATGCATAATAGAAGTCTTAGAGTTGGAATTTTTAATTATATCTTTGGTTTCACAAAAACTTATTTTTTTACAAAAAATTATTAAAAAATTGCAAGCAAAGATCTGAAAAACCATTTCAATAATAACGCTACCTCACATATTTATATTGTGGAACAATATCCAACACTCTCATGTATATAAAATCAATTCTATTAGCAATCTTTTGTTATAGCACATACGTCAACAGAGTACAAAGGAGTTATCACGGTGAAAGAATTACCAACAGTTTTGAGTCTGATGACCAGATTGTACAATGTCTTGTTCAACCTTATTGGCAGCTGCTTGTTAGCTGCCATCAGATTGGTCATGTTGATTCACGGTGAACCAGTACTCAATGAGCAAAAGGCCTTGTACCATCACCAAGGGCAGCTGCAGATTGGACCACTGGAGTGTCCATGGAGTAAGCCATAGAGTGTCCGCCGGCTGATTTTAGGAAGCAGATCAGCCCTTCCTTCCTAAACCATCTCCATCTGTAAACGTCTCTGAAATCTATTTAGCAAGGTACACACAGGCTAATCTCCACTGACAGCAGGTGGCTCAAGGTGACCAGGGACTGAAGCCAGGTTCCTTGCATGGAAGGTGAGAATCTCACCACTGAAGCACATAACCTCAGTGCTCCATAAATATTTGTTGTTGAATGAGTGAACATTGCGAAGACGCTTCCCCACTGCTGTCCAGGCCGTTCCAACTGATAGCTGACCCTCCACAGGCTTTCTGAGGCTGTAAATCTTCTGGGAGGTAGTTCCCCATCTTTCTCCATCAGAGATGCAGGTGAATTCAAACCTCCAAAAGGTGCCACCTTTGGGTTAGTAACATGACTCCTTGTTGACCACCGAAGCCCTGTGCAAAGAAATTAAAAAAAGAAACAGGAGCAGCGCACAGAAGAGCGGGTCCTGACTTGGTGCTGTAGCCAACGCAGCCGCAGCTCAGAAGTCCACCCAGTCAGTCCACAGAATAACATTGAAACACATGAACTCAAGAGCAAGCAAGCCCTTAAATGCAGCTTTCCTTTATGCGTGGTTTTGTGTTAGTTAGTTTGTTTCTTTCTGTTTTGACTTCTGATGCTTTTGCTTATTGAACAGGGGAGAATACTAATCATTTTCAGAATACTGCATTTTCACTCATTCCAGAGGCAAACAGCTTCAAGGCAAAAGCGCTCACTAAAGGGTATGGAGTGACTAGGGGCCTAGTTATCAAAAGAGGGTCATGGAAAAATTCAAAAGCACAATAAATAAGCACGCCAAAGCATCCAGGGGGATGAGCTATGCAGCCCAAGTAAAAATTAAAAACAAATTACACACACTAATTAGCGTTGCGCAACACATCTGATTCATTTGCATACAAGGCAATTATCCTGATTGGAAGCTGAACTCAGTAGGCTCTGCTGGGTTAGTGCTTCTCTTGGGAACTTAAGATGGTACATTGTATTCCCTTAAGACTTAATGGCAAATAAACAACCACTCGGAGCACCTTTTTGCCAAGCTCTGTAATGAAAGCAATGTAGAGCTGTGTGTGGGCTGCAATAGGCAACCTGTGGGTTATTGTCCTGAACAAGAAATAGGTCCATTCTTTGCTTCTGGAAAATGCTATCTTATATAAAGAATTCTTCTCCTCCACCTTTTTCTTCTGTCTGGGCTGTCTGGTGAGGAGGGCATTTTGAGGTTGTCTTCCTTATATCAGGGTCACGCTGGCCAGCACGGGACAAAGGGATGTCCCGCTCCTCCACGATTCTGTTGTTGTGGGACCCAGGTGTCCCTGAGCAAGCTGCTGGCAAGCAGGACAGAGGCTGACTGGGGTGCAAACCTCTCTGCAGTCTGCTCGGAGGGGATTGCCCGGCTTCAGAATTGACCACCGTGAACCCTGTGTCCACATTCGTCTCTGCCTCGAGCTTCGGCCGGTGGGTTCCCTGGCTGTGGGCCTTCACCCCAGACACACTGTCGGGAGAAGGCAGGTGCAGCTGTGTGTCTGTGACTGGGCTGCCGGCCAGCAACGGCCAGCTAGGGCTTCTCCACGAAGCGCCACTGCGGCTCTCTGAGGACAGATTCCCACCAGGCTCCAGAAGCTCCAGAGAAGCCAACCTGCAATTCCTGGTGCGGCTTCGCCGGCTCCTTGGTTCTGGAATGTTCTTTGTGGACACAGAGGCCATCTTGGAGCCTTGGGAAAGCATGTCAGCCCCTGAAGAAAGTTCCCCATTCCTCGCACCAAGCTCTGGATTCGTTTGGACCTAAGAAGAACAAATGAAAGAGATATTTACTGTTCACTAGTGTCTGGGATAGGTAGGATCTACCTCAACCATACCACACCCAAACAAGCGTTCTGTCAAGCTGCTGAAGTGAACAGAAGTGATTTGTACAACTGAATTGTGAAGTATAAAATGTGGGAGAAGGAGAGGCAACCTCCTCCCGTGTGATTAACACCTCTGAAAACCCACTGGAGAGTCTGCTATGGGTTGGTTCTGACTAAATGGTACTTCACAACAACAAAACAATATGATCAGCATTGGCCCCAGATATCACTCACTTGGACTCTCCACCTTAACTTCTGACAAGGTCAAGTCGCTTGGAATCAGATTATAACAACAGCACACCTCTTACGGATCCTATTGTTAAGCTATATTCAGAAAGACATTTATACAGTAGGCTTTTTTAAGCATTTATTTAGCTAACAGGCCATCAGCACCGACGAATTACATCCAAGGGTTAGCAATGCTGTACTAACAGCCATAAAAATAAAAATTCAAATGCCATAAAAAGAAAAATTCAAATGCCCCCAAAGCCTATGGTTACTCTCAAGACTGTCTACTGCAAGCCTGCTTGTCGTTTATTTTACTTGAATCTACTCTTGGTAGGATTCTCTTAGACTCGTGTTCTTGGTAGATTTTTAGTATTCACCTGCTGCTTCTAGCCTCTCTTCCGCCTTGCTGTTCTCAACCAGCTTGCTTTGCACTGAAGGAACCTCTTCTCTATTTACTGCTGTATTTCCACTCCTGACCTGGCCCTTTCCTCACTCCACACAATTTCCCAAGGCAATTTACCCACATTCATGCCTCCCAGCCAGGCTTTCAATTATGAGCTCAGTACCAAAGGCTCCCCAAAGTGAAACTATAGCTCAAATCTGGCTCTTAAACTGTATGCATATCTACCAATTGGCTTGCAGGCATTAGCATTCAGAGGTCTCACGGGGTCCCTCAAACTCAACACGTCCAGAATTAAACTAATTTTCCTCCTCACAGCAACCAAGCTGGCTCGCTCTCTGCGCTCTGATGCCGGCATGTTGCCCAAGGCAACATCATCTTCCCTTCTCCAGGCCTCATGTATATTATCAGTCACACAGTCTATGGGCTCATCTCCTCAAGGCCTCCCCCAAAGATCTCTATCTTCCTGTCTCTCCTGAGTTGGTCTTGAGTCAGAATCTACCCATCAGCTACTTTTTTCTCACTTCCTCTATGGTCCATTCCCTCTCACTGTAGCCTAAGTCACCACCACTTTCTTCTAAAACCTCGTATGCCAAAAGTGAACTGTTTTCAGTTTGTTAACTCTGATTCACACTTTCCTACTGTCAGCAATTGTATATCTTTCCTTTGCCTGGAATATACGTCCTCCAAATACTATTATTATAAATGATATTATTAATATCAATGGAAATTTACAAAGACTTTGGATTTCCATTCATTCATTGTTGCACTTTTCTCCCCTCCCAACCCTCCCTGACCCCAGTACACTTCCCTCTTGGAAAAGTAAAAGAAAAATTATTTCAGTGTTTTACAATGCCTGCCCCTAGGTTCCACTCCACTATGCAGCCTTCACTCTAGACTCCTGTTATGACAAAAATATCGAATCACATATCTCTTTTAAACAGTTTTCTCCCTCAACTGTTTCAATGCAGTATACATTATTTAATCCATCTTTCTCAGTCTCCCCCAACCCCGATGTCAGTCCTGTTTTACAAAAGGGGCACCATCCAGTATTTGTGCTTTTGTGACTGAGATACTTCACGCAGCATAATGTCCTCCAGGGTCACCCATTTTGAATAATATTGCATGAGTTCCTTGTTTTTCAATGCAGCATAGTATTCCATTGTGTGAATATACTACAGCTTCTCTATCCATTCGTTTGTTGATGGTTCAAATAATTTTTTAAAGAACTCTTGTGGCATGGTGGGTAAGGAGTTGTACTAATTCAAAAAAAGTATCAAGCAACAAATGCTGGCGAGGTTGTGGAGGAATTGGAACCCTTATTCACAGCTGGTGGGAATGTAAAATTGTGCAACCACTGTGGAAGGTGGTGTGGAGCTTTCTCAAAAAGTTGCAAATAGAGATACCATTTGACCCTGCAATCCATTACTGGGAATATACCCCGAAGAGACCATAACTGACATCCAAGCAGATATATGCACACCCATGCTTATCGCAGCTTTGTTTACAGTAGGAAAGAGTTGGAAGCAACCTAAGTGCCCATCAACAAACAAATGGATAGAGAAGATGTGGTATATTCACACAATGGAGTACTACGCTGCATTGAAAAACAAGGAACTCATGCAATAGTATTCAAAATGGGTAACCCTGGAGGACATTATGCTTAGTGAAATATCTCAGCACAAAGGGACAAATACTGCATGGTGCCACTGTTGTATAATGGGACTGACATCAGGGTTGGGGTAAGACTGAGAAAAAACTGGATAAATTATGTATACTGCATTGAAACAGATGAGGGAAAGAACAGATTAAAGGTGATATATAGTTTTATGGTTATCACAGGAGTCCAGAATTAAGGTTGCATAGAGAAGTGTACTTGGGGCTGGGGGCAGAGGGGATGGGGGGTTGTATACCAATGAAGGAATTTTTCTTTTTTCTTTTCAAAGAGAGGAGCAAACTGGAGGGGAGGGGTGGGCAGGGAGAAAAGTGCAGCAATGAATGAATGGAAATCTAAAATCTCTGTAAATGTTCATTAAAATCATTAAAATCACGCTCTTCTGAGAATCTCCTGGATGATTGGCACTGAGTTGGAATTGGCTTCACTGTGCATCATAACAGCAATCATTTTTATTTCAAACTTATCTGCCTAAGAAGACTGAAGTGGACAACCCCCCCCCAACATATACAAATGCACATAAATAAAATATAAAGTAAATGAAACTAATTATATAAATAAGTATTTTTTTAAAAAAGAACATATACAAATAATAAACTAATAAACACCACCACTGCCCCCCCCCAAATAAAACACCCTCATCTGCTACCATTTCCTCTTGGAATCTTTCCCATCATTGTTGATTCTGAGTTTCTGTCCAGCAGCCTCTGCAAGCTCATGTTTGTCAGAGTTGAACAGCACTCCCTAGGTTTTTCCAGGAGCCGATTTTTCAGAAGTAGACTGCCAGGCCTTTATTCCAAGGTGCCTCTAAGTGAACTTGAACTTCCACCCTTTCTGTTAGGAGTCAAGCAAGTTGACAAATTATACTATCTAAATATTAGTCATTCCACTTAGTAGGGAGCCCTGGTGGCCTAGAGGTAAGAAGCTGCGCTGAAATCCCAAAGACATGCGGTTTGAATCCACCTGTTTCTCTATGGGAGGAGTGGCAATCTCTGCCAGACAGCATACAGCCTCTGAAAGCCCTCTGGATGGTCAGCTACGAGTCAGTTCCAACTCGACAGCACACAACAACAATAATAACTTACTAGTTGTGGGACTTTAGGAAAATTGTTTCTTTTTCCTGTGCTTCAGATAGTTCATCTGTAAAGGAACATAATAAATACCTACATCATGAGAGTATGTGAGAATTAAGTGATAAAGGTGCCTGGGACATAGTATATGCTCCATATGTGTTCCTTACTGTTATTGGCATTACTATAATCAGTGTACAATAATATCAACTTCGAGAGAGAGAGAGATCAGCTGGCCCAGTGGACAAAAAGTGATGCTACCAAGCCTAAGGTGGGTGACTTTTAATCTGTGGCCCTCCGGCCAGTCTTTCATTGTTTTTGTTCAGACATTCCTCTAGGTCATATAGCCCTGGTGTACAAGTTGCCGTACCACGGTCACTTGTGGTTGCTGTGAGGCTGAACACTGTGACACTGATGTGCCAAATGCATTAATGATGGGCTATCCAATGCGGACAGAGAGTGGGGTGGAGCTCCCCGATTAAAACAAGCTTGGAAGCAGGAGTGTCATCCACTTCTGTAATCGCTTGCCTCTGGAAACCCTATGAACCTGGAGAGAGGATGAAAGTCACCCAAGCGTCAAGGACTCTCCTTCATAGGGTCGCTATGAGTCACCTGCGACTCGACGGCACTTAACAACAACAACATAATCAGTGTGGAGTTCTGGGGTCCTAATGATAAGGAGTTGTGCTGTCACCCCATAGGCACATGGTTCAAATCCACCAGCCTCTCAACAGGACAAGGATGAGCAGTCTCCTCCCATGAGATTAAAGCACCCCTGAAGACCGCCTGGAGAGTCAGGTATGAGTTGGTCCCAACTCCACGGTACTCCACAACATCACCAGCAGTTCCCATAGCATTGGAGGATGACATCAGCAGATCCTCTGATAAGATCAGATAATTGGGGAAGGCTTCCTATCACTGTAATTACCATATTTTATTGCAATTGTCTGTTTACTGCTCAGTTTCTCCCTTGGAAAGGGGAACACTTGTAGACACTGTCATCATTTTATCTTAAATACCTAGCACAGTGCCTGACACATGATAATCACTAAACATCTTCTCAATACAAACATAAAAATAAACTTTTGCCCATAGAAATGAAAGGAAATTTCCTTGCCATGTACTTGATTCTGCCTCCTGGTCACCCCACCTATATCATAGGAGAGCTGTACCCCACAGAGCTCTCAAAGACTGATTTTATGGAAGTAAATCGCCAACACGTTCTTCAGAGTAGCTCTGGATGGACTCACCTCCCCCACCTTTTCATTAATAGCAAGTTTTTAAACACTGGTGCAGCCCAAGGACTCCATCTACAGAACAAGACTCTGGTAATTTTATCTTAAAGAAAACTCATTGCCATCAAGTTGGAGCCAACTCATAACTGATCCTCCAACAGATTTTTCAAAGGTGTAAATCATACGAGAGGAGACTGCTCACCCCTTTCCCATTGGTGGATTCGAACTTCCAGAGAGGGGCACCTTGTAACAGCACAACCCCATGAGGACTATCCCACTAGAGATACCCAATTTTATACTTTATAAGCAGAAATAAATTCTTTATAATGT